GGGAGGGGGGGAGGGGGGAGGGGGGGGGGGGGGGGGGGGGTGACACTCCTCCACTGCAACGCCACGGTGGCAACATATAGATAGAGAGGAGGGCAATGAACGTGCCGACGCTCCGCGACTGGCTGCATGAGGCTGCGTCGTGGGACGCCGAGGCGGCGCCGCTGGCGCATGCGGCGGCGGCCGAGGGACGGCTGTCGGACGCGGCGCGGTATCGGTACGCGCATGCGGCCAAGAAGGCGCTGGCGGCACGAAGGTCGGCGTACTTGCTGGCGGCAGAGCAGGCGGAGAGCAGCGCAGCAAGAGGTGCGGCGGGGGACGAGCTGCGGCCGCTGTACGAGCTCCGCGACAACATCCGGGCCGAGGTGGAGGCGGCTGGGCAGGGCGTGCTGGCGCTGGTGACCGACGTGCTCGAGCCGGGCTCGGCCGACATGGAGGACAAGGTGGCGTATGCCACGCTGCGCGGCGACGTGTTCCGCTACCTCTCCGAGGTGCATGTCGGCGATGCGGCCGAGGCCGATGTCGTGGCTGGCAACGAGGCGTACCGGCAGGCCCACGGCCTTGCCCTTGATCTGCCGCCGGCCTCGCCGGCAGCGCTCGGCTGCGCCCTCAACTACGCTGTCTTCCTTTGGGAGATTCTCGGCTCGACCAAGGAGGCGTACAATGTGGCGGTCAAGGCGCTGAATGCGGCGACCGAGTGGCGGGCGAACCACGAGAACGTGCTCTCGTCGCCGCTCAACCCGCAGACGCCGATCATTCTCAACCACCTCCGCAAGATCCTTGCCGGCTGGGAGAGTGCGCTTGGACTGGCACCCACCGTGGGCGCGCCGCTGGCGCCTGCGGCCGCGACATACGACCGGCCGACCGGCGACGGGACTCATCCCGCGGCGGCCGGCGCGCCGGCGGCGCTGCGGTCGGCGGCGCCTGGCGGCTACGACTCACAGCTTGGCGACTTGCAACGCGACGACGGCGACGGCAACGTCATCACATGGCGCACGCTTGCGGATCAGGCGGCCGTGTGTGACGCCAAGGCCGAGGAGGCGGCCAAGATGGCCGCCCGCGGCTCGGGCGACGAGCTGTCCAAGACCCAGCGCGCCTACCTCGCGTACGCATTCAAGAACTCGATCTCTGTCCGCCGCTCAATGTGGCAGCTGCTGACGTTCCACATCGAGGCGCTGCAGTGGGGCACTGGCCCGCCACGCGACGCAGAGTACGCCAGCAGGCTCGCGAGCTCGCGCGACAAGGTCAACGCCGAGCTTGACACCATCTCGCGCATCCTGCTCTCGCTCATCTCGGACCACCTGCTTCCGTCATCGTCGGCACCCGAGACAAAAGTCTTCTACCGGACACTCGACGGCGACATGCACCGGTACCTCGCCGAGTGCACCGCGCCGGACTCGGGCCCGCACCGCGCAGCTGTCAAGGCCGCGCACGCCGCGTACGAGGCCGGCTACGAGCTCGCGCGCCGCGAGCTCTCGCCGCTTGACCCAATCAGACTCTCGACCTCGCTCAACTACTGTGTGTACTACTACGATGTGCTCGCGTCGCACGCCGATGCGCTGGCCCTCGCGCGCGTCACCCTCAGCGACGCCCTCGACGCTGACCCGCTCGCCGATGCCGTCGCCGCCCATGAGGCCGGCATCATCGTCGATCATCTGTGCAACATGCTCGAGACCATGGTCGACAAGCACGCACCCGTCGACTCGGACGACATCCTTGACCTTGTCGACGCCGCCCGCGAGGCCCAGCTCCACGACGCTGGTGCCAGCATGGCCAAGTCTGGGCAGGCCATGCCGGCCCAGCCGGTCCAGCCGGTTCAGCCGGTCCAACCGCGGCGGCGGCGGCGGCGGACCAAGCAGCGCCGCGCAGATGCGCCGAACGGTGCGTCGCCGGCAGCGGCGCCAGAGGCAACACCCGAGCGGCCGCATGTATCAGCAGTGGTGCCAGGAGCAGCAGGAGAGGTGGAAGCCGAAGCGTCGTCGCCGATTGCCGAACGCGAGGGAAGTCCGGGTGTGGGCGATGAGACCATGTCGGTGCTGCAGGAGCAGGCGCGGCGGATCGAGATGCTCGAGTCACAGCTGGCCGAGCTGAAGCGATCGTCACCGTCACCGTCGTCCTCTCCTACCCCAGTGCATGTTCCTGCATCTGCGAATGCGGCTGCACCGGCACCAAGCGTGTATGAGGCGTATGCAGGCGCGAGTGCGGGCGCAGGCGTTGGGGGCAGCGTGCGGCGGTCGGTCCCGCCGAGCTCGCCGTACACCCATCCGCTGATGGCCTCGCTGTCGGCCTCGTTCCAGGCGCAGCAGACGCAGCTGGCGGCACTGCGGACCGAGCAGGCTCTGCTGGCGCAGGAGCAGTCGCGGACGGCGCACGCGTTGCACGCGGCGCGGCCTGCGGCGGCATTGGGCGCCGGCAGTGGCCCGGGCGCTGGCAGCGGCTACTACCTGCGGACGTACAATGCCGCCGCCGTCCATGGGGCGCAGCGGGCCGGATCGGCGCCGGCACCGCGCGGCCCGCAGGCGCCGCTCCCACCCACCTTCCCGCTCGTCTTTACTGCAGCGCTGGTGGTGACATGGTCGCCGCCGGCGGCCAACGGTCCGTACACCGCCTACCGGGTCTATCGATCGACGCCCGGCTCGCAGTTTGAGCTCGTCTACGAGGGCCCGGGCCTCATGTTTTACGACGCCGGCCTCAAGGCCGACACCATATACACATACGCCGTGGCAGCATGTAACGCCTCGGGCGCCTGGTCGGGCATGTCGCAGCCGTCGACCCAGAAGACCCGCGCCAAGCTGTAAAAGGGAAGCCCACTGGCGTGTCGCTGTCCGAAAAAAGGTCGTGGTCTGGGCCGAGAGGGCGACATGACGGCGCAGAGGACAGGGGCAGGGATGGGAACGAGCCGAGGTACACTTCCCTCGCTCAGCTCGTTCTTGCCCCTCTCCGGAATGGCTAGCACGCCACCGGCACGACGGGGCTCGACCGGGGTGCCGCCGATGCCGCCGCCGCCGCCAGGCCGTGCGGGCGTATGCGCTGGCGCTGCCGCCGGCGTCGCCGCTGCCGACAGGCCCGCGGGCACGGGGTGGAGAAAGTCGCGGCAGGCGTATGATGCCCAAGGAGCCGCGGACATTCGACTCGCTACCGGTGGAGCTTGTGCTGTATGCCTTCTCGCTGCTGGACCGGGCGACGCTCGGGCGTGCGGCGCAGGTGGCGCGCAAGTGGCACGCCCTCGCCAACGACGGCTCGCTGTGGCGGGTCCTTGACCTTGTTCCCTTTGCGGCGCGGGTCGACGACTCGGTCCTCGTCCGCCTCGTCTCGGCCCATCCAGCAATCCGCATCCTCCGTGTCGCCGGCAGCGTGACCGATGCTGGTGTCGCCTTTGCCCTCGGCCGCCTCACCGGCCTTGTCGAGCTTGACATGGGCGCCGCCGCCCGGGTCTTCCGTGCATTTAACGCCTACGGCCCGCAGCTTCCACTCTCGCTCACTGAAATTGTCCTCCCGGACGTGGCGTATCCGCGGCCGGGACGAATGCCGCGGCTGGTGCTGGCCGATGAGGCGGGAGGTGCGAGCTCGAGCGCCGCCGGCGCCGCACCAAGCGCGAGCTCAGAGCCGTCGTCGCAGGCATCACAGCTCTCACCGCGGCCCGGCCGGCTCGCCGAGGCGATGGTTGAGGCGCTTGGTCGCGGGGCCGTGGTGGCACCCGAGGCGCTCTTTGTCCTCGACATCCTGGCGTCGGCGCCGCGGCTGCGTCGGCTGGTCGTCCGCCGCGAGGCGTTTGAGTGCGGCGACTGGGTGGTGGCCCTCGCGCCGCGACTCTGTCCTAAGCTCGAGGTGCTCGAGCTCGGCGACGAGTTCCTCGGCGAGGCCATTGAGGGCTTGTTCTCGGTCTCGGTAGCTGCGCTGCGGGCCCTGGCGGCGGCGCGACCTCCGCTCCGCGAGCTCGTCCTCACCTTTTGCAAGGTCTTTGGCGACAGTGGCGATCGTAGGCAGCTGACCGGTGGAGGCGGAGACGATGATGGGTCGTACCTGGACGCTCTGTCAGGGCTTGAGGCGCTCGAGGTGCTGCGGCTGCGGCAGACGGACGTGCTGTCACCGGTGAGCCGGCAGCTGGGACTGGGCAGTAGCTTTGATGCGCTGCGCGTGCTCGAGGTGCCGGCTGGGCAGCTGACGGAGAGGGAGGTCAACATCCTGTTTGGCGCCATGCCAGTGCTGGAAGAGTTTGTGGTCTCAGCAGTGTGGTTTCTGGGCACTGATCCGGATCCATGGATTGACTGGCGCAAGGTGCCGCGGCTCCCGCCCAAGCTCCACACGGTGGCGCTTGACTACTCGTTCGGCTTTGTGGAGCACTTGCTGACCAACCTCGGGGCGCGGCATCAGCTGCGATCACTTGCGCTCAAGCGGTTCCACATGGGCCGGCATCCGGTAGGCTTTTCCATCCGCGAGCTCCTCGACTACATTGTCCGCGACGCGCCCGGCCTCGAACGGCTGCACCTCTCGGTGTGGCGCGAGCCGGCGGACCTGTCGACGTACGATGCGAACCTATTGGCCGGGCCGGGCGTTGGGCTTAAACTTGGGCTGGTTCTCGACGGCCTGCCTGTGCTGCGCGAGCTCAAGCTCGACGGCTTTGCGCTCTCGCACTCGAACTGCGCGCCGCACGCGCTGGTGAGTGTCGAGCTTAGGCACTGCACCTACGTCCAGTCGCTGCTTGAGGTGGCGTGGCTGGTGGGCGTGGCGCCGCAGCTCCGCCGGCTGGTCCTCACCCATGTCGAGGCCTTCTCCGAGCTCGAGCTCGGGATGGTGCTGGGCATCGGGCGGCGGCTGACGAGCCTTGAGCTCAGCTGCATGGGCCCGCAGGGCAGCCGCGGGCTAGCGGCGTGGCGCGCGCTGGCAGCACGGGTGATGCGGAGCAACTGGAACGCAAACTGGAGCTGAAGCGCCACGGATGGGCGTCACACGACGGTGCGGCGGAGCGGGGCGGAGGCAATGCGGACGAGCGCAGCCTTGCGGACAAAGACGGCGGTGTCGGGCTCCGAGTCAAAGTAGTCAACGCCATTGATCGAGCCGTCACAGTTGCCCTCTCCGGGCTCGTCCAGGTGGATGCCGAACCAGAGGCCGTGGGCAAACTCTGTGGCACCGATAAAGCAGACCTCACCCGAATGGGTGCCGTTGACCACGACGCGGGTCCCGATGGGGAAGCGGAGGCGGGCGCGGCGGGCGAGCTTGGCCACCTTCTCTGCCTCGACCAGATCGTGCATGGCCTCCTGCGAGTCGAGCTTGAGGGCGGGCGATGATGGTGGTGGCGAGCGCGATGACCGTCGACGGAGGCGACGGCGGCGGGCAGCCGCTGCACGGGCTTCACGCTCGAGCTCGGCGCGCGCGCTCTGCGACATGGGCTTGGGCACAATGCGGACACGGGCCGGGTGGACCATCATGCCATAGCCTTTCTTGAATGCAAAGTACCGAATCGGCCCTTGGACCAGATCGCCGAGCGGAGCATCGAGCGTGACGCCAACCCATGTCCCCTCGGCCTCCACGATGGAGCCCACAAAGGCGACGGTGCCTGGATGCAGCTCGTCGACCAGGCACCAGGCACCCACCCGCATCTCGTCCGCTGTGTCCCACCCCGCTCTCGCCAGCTCGTTGTCGTCCACCGCCATGAGATTGAGAGTTGGGTGTGGCTGCGGCTATGGCTGTGCCTGTGGCCGACGCCAGCGCCTTTGAGTGAGCCAACGGATTCGGGGGGGGGGGGGGGGGG